TTTTTTTTTTTTTTTTATTGTTGTACCAAAAAATATTACTCTGCAATAGTGGACTGGGACTAGGGTAAAGGGAGTACTCTCCACTGCCGTATCCGTTTCAAAAATATTCGTCTATACCCATTAGTGAGAAAAATTTTATCCCTATTCTCATCCCTACCATTGTCACCCTCCCTAACAATTAATTTCTATGATTTTAAAAATTATTTTTTTAAAAAAATCATAAAAACTTACAAATGGTTCTGCAAAAAGGATGAACACCATTACATAACAAATTGATCAAAAAAAGAGAGATTTTTTAGTAAAGAGAAGCGTGTGTGGGTGCGTGAGATTTGTGATATTATATATATGTATTAATAAGTGGGTGGGTGCGAGGCGGGTATGATTTGTGTTTTGTGATATATATAGCAGGGCAGGGCAGGAATGCCCTGCCTGCATTCTCGCACGGATTTATACGGGGATCTCTATATACGTCTACCTATGGTCCATTCCCAGTTCAAATAGAACATGTTCAAACAAATATACATATTTTTTTGATTCACTACCATCCCTACTCTTAAGGGTCACTACAAAAGAAAAATTATAGCTACTTATTATCGATCACAACATTTCATATCGATCATAATTAATAGAGATTATTCGTGATCAATCACGAAAGACTCCAAAGTAGCTCTCTTGGAATGTGAAAATTGAGATTGGGTAATGTTGGATATAACTCCAATCCCACATTAATTGGGTAAAAAAATTTAGATGAGCATATATATTCCAAGTTTATGGTTTTGGTTGTGGCTCAATTGTATGTTACTATTTTACTCTTAATTACATAATAAGATTTAATGTGTCACCATCAACGAAATTTACACTGTTGAGGTCTTAATTGATTCATGTTGAACAATTTGTTTAATTGTCAAGTGTATTATTTTGATCATATTCTGAGATTATTTTTATTTGGAGACTTAATTGATAATTTTAATTTTTAAAATTTTAATATGTATTAAATTTTCAAAAATTTGGGAATTGGATTTATTTTATTGAGATAATTAGTATTCTAAATTATTTAATTGCATATAAATTCTCGACTTTTACCGAATAACATTTTCGCGAACCTGGACATTAATCATCAATTAGATTTGAAACCCTACATAATTTACTTGTTAAATCCCATTATTATAATAAATACATCATACAATACCTATTACAATGATTAAGTAATATTCATCACATTGATTTGATAGTTTGTAACTGATTAGTGATCAGGTAAAAGACCGATACTTCATTGACTGCCTCCATTAAATTTTATTTTTCTTTTGTGACCTTAGCATTTTTTTTTTTGACCTTAGCATGTGAATGTCTTGATAAATATTATAGAAGTACCATAATTTTGGTAATTCCACTCATTTCTTATCGACTTATGTTGAACGTACAAGTTAAAAAATAAATAGGAAAACATTATTTGGACATAAAAATCTGATATAATTTACTGATCTAATGACGTGGTTTCATTGAAACTATTGGATTAACATTAAATTTCAATATTTAATGGAGTCTACAGTCAATTCAAAGATCATTGTGAATTAGATAAGTCAATAAATTAAGTCCTAATAGCATTGCTCTAAGATACGAGTCTTTAATCTTATAATTAAACTCTGAGATTAATAGATTAAGTAACGTAGACCATGATTTCGTGATTTTTCCCGAGAGAATTTTCATGCAAAATTGCTCCTGTTGTGTATTTTGCTTACTTTTCATACCTTAAATTTTTACTTTTCTAAGTGTTTGATAAATTGCTTAAGTGAATCCGACTTGTAGAGTTGGCCATTTTCATGCTATAAGCTTACACAATTCTCCCCCTAATTAAACAGCTATGATGTCTGATCTTGGGATGTTAAAAGTTTATTACTTGGATACGAAACGTGGAAAGAGAGCACCTTGAAAATGATACAAATAAAATCCCCATGGACAAGCAATGTACGTAAGACCAAATAACCTACTTTCCAAATAATTTAAGAAGGCCCATAGCCTTCATCATGGTAGGATTCCCAACAGTGTATCCTCCATTTACTACAAGGTTGAGCTCACCGATGTACCCTGCATCATCACTAGCCAAATATAGTGCAGTTTTTGCTACATCATCAACCCTGAGAATTTTCCCCTTCAGATTTGCCATCGCAACCGTACTGCTTCGAATTCCTCGATCGTAGGTCCACTTATTATGGATGTCGCAACACCGGAAGGCGAGATGCAATTCCCTCTGATTCCATACTGGCCGAGCTCAGCTGCCAAGTTTTTACACAACCCCACAATTCCATGCTTTGAGATAGCATAGGGATGAGTTGCGGTGCCTCCATTTTTTTTTTTTTTTTTGATAAATTCGGTGCCTCCAATTGATGCACAAAAACTGGCTGTGAATAGTATACAGCCCTTACGCAGTGGTACCGTGACCCTTGCAGCATGTTTGGCTCCTAAGAAAGATCCAACCACATTAACATTGAGGACGCGATCTAGGTCTGACCTCTTGCTATCCAAAGTGCTTCCATAAGGGCGGTCTATGATGCCTACATTGGAGCTAATGGTCTTACTATCGTGATTTATATACCATTATTTTCAACTTGGTAACCAAACTATGGTTAATTAGATAAAAGTGTATTTTTTGGTCAGTATATAAAAGTGTATGTTGAACTCACACTTTTAATGAATAAGCGTATTCCGAAAACATACTTTCAAAGTCTCGAAAATGCGCTTTTGCATTGAGAAGTGTGGCTTACTCACGATTTATAAAAAGTAGAGTAAATTATATTTTGTTCCCTTGAATTATTACCTTTATTTTATTTTGTACCCTCAACTACAAAATTTCTCACATTACACTTTAAAGAATTTGTTTATGTTGTCAATGATAACATAAAACATTATTTGAGTTTATGTTATTTAGCTTAAATTTTATTATTTACCTTAAATTTTATTATTTACAATTTTGTCTCTTTCCATCGATTATATTTATGTTAATTGTTAAATTTAATAAAGTTCTATCTTACCATTTTATCAGTATCAGGCATCACACTTTGTTCGAATTAACTATACTATCTATTGAAAAAAAATATGTTAACAAAACTTAAATAAAAAAATTGGGTAAATTCTTTTGCGCATCAAAAGACAACAATATAAATAATTTTGTATAATGATTTAAATCATGTAATTTATTTTAAAAATCAATAGGGCCTTGTTTAAATTTTCACTGTAGATCCCATTTTGTGTTGGGCTGCACCTGAAATTTAACAAACACTACTTTTTATTATGATAAATATCATGTTCTTGCTATTTTATTTCTTTGTTTTTTTATTTCAAATATTCTTCCTAGCGATTGGAGAAACATGTATTTTACTCGCGGGCTGGTGCCTTGCGACGATGTTTTCCCAATGGCGAGTTTGATGTTTTGGAACAACTAAAACAACACAATGGTGATTCCTAAAATTCATTTTTTTAGTTTTGCACATTGTGTGGAGTAATGGTATATTTTGCAATTGTCGTTATTTGGACGAATGGAGCTCTTTTGGAACTTTGTGTTAGGCATTGCTTGATCAGTTGCTCTTTGGTAGCCGAAAAATATACATTTGTTATTTTCTTCATATTGTACTTGCTCGAGTGGGTTTCATTTACATCCAAATAATGGTGTTGCTCCAATTTTGTGTGCATTGTTTNGATCAGTTGCTCTTTGGTAGCCGAAAAATATACATTTGTTATTTTCTTCATATTGTAGTTGCTCGAGTGGGTTTCATTTACATCCAAATAATGGTGTTGCTCCAATTTTGTGTGCATTGTTTGGGTATAATAGCCAAGGACAAGCCTTAACGTAATTGTAAAGTTGTTTCATTTTAATTTGGAGGTCATAGGTTTGAGTTGTAGAAATAATCTCTTTGTTTATAGGGTAAAACTACGTATATCTAATATTCTATAAACTCCGTAATAACAAGAGTCTCGCATATTGAGTAAGTCTTTTTTTATTCGGGTATAATAGTTGTATTTATTACCTTACAAATTATATTTAAGTAATCATAAAAAAAAGTGTACNTTTGGAGGTCATAGGTTTGAGTTGTAGAAATAATCTCTTTGTTTATAGGGTAAAACTGCGTATATCTAATATTCTATAAACTCCGTAATAACAAGAGTCTCGCATATTGAGTAAGTCTTTTTTTATTCGGGTATAATAGCTGTATTTATTACCTTACAAATTATATTTAAGTAATCATAAAAAAAAGTGTATGAGTCATTTTATGGTTTTGGGTGTGTTTGTGGATGTTAAATTGAGTGTGGTTTTGGAAAGTGGCGTGGGCACGTGCACAAGGTGTTTGTTACATTATTTTGGTGAAAAGACCTCAAAAAGTCTACTATAGAGTGCTAAGTTAAACTGAAATTAATATATTCAAATTTTTTGATAGTTTTTTTTGTTCAATTAGGTTATTTGTGTTTCCAATTGTAGACACTCCCCTGCTCTCTACTAGGGGTGTCCATGGTCGGGCCGGACTAGACTCATGAATTTTTTTTGGGTTGGGCCTGGATAAGGTAGGCCTAAGCCCTTACCCATATGAGTTATCGGGCCGGGTGGGCAGAGGCGGGCTTTAGGTAGGGAAAAGCTACCCACAATCTAACTTGTGAGTCTATTGGACGAGCCTTATGAGCGGGCTTATTTTTGAGTTTTTTTATATACAACTTCATTTAAGAATAATAAATATTTTTATAAATTATATTTTTAAATCAAAAATAGAGTCAAAATGGACAAAAAATAAATAATGATTAATTTTATTTTTGAATAGAAGATGTACTACATTACAATATAATGAGCACATCCCAATTAGGTTGACACCTGTCCACCTATCTATTGTTTGCACAATTCTACAATTTAAAACGTGTATGCTTAATACATGNAAGAATAATAAATATTTTTATAAATTATATTTTTAAATCAAAAATAGAGTCAAAATGGACAAAAAATAAATAATGATTAATTTTATTTTTGAATAGAAGATGTACTACATTACAATATAATGAGCACATCCTAATTAGGTTGACACCTGTCCACATATCTATTGTTTGCACAATTCTACAATTTAAAACGTGTATGCTTAATACATGAAAAAGAAAATAATACATTATCTATAGTATCTAAATTTCTAAAATTTCAAATTCCGACATTGTGGATTTATTCAAAAATTTCAAATTCAATGGTCTAACTTTTTTTCAAAGTAAGGGTGGGCGGGTGGATTTTTGGGCCGGGTTTTATAGACGAACTATTTAGGCCAGGTCATGGGTTTGGGGACAAGTCCAAACCTTCTTTTTAAGGATACTGGGTTCGGGCTCGGACGGGCCAACTATCGAACATGATTTTTTAGACTAGATAACAAGACCCGTGGGTACCCCAACCCATTGCCACACAAATGGAAGAATTTGGATAAGTTGGGATCCCCATGTTTTGGAACTTAACCAAATTGGCAGCATAGACCAGGTAATACATTTAAGCATTACAATTATTGAGAAGTAGATAAACTTCATTGCCTCCTTTGTTTATGGAAAAAATAAAGAAGAGGAAAGGGAGTNAATTATTGAGAAGAGGATAAACTTCATTGCCTCCTTTGTTTATGGAAAAAAGAAAGAAGAGGAAAGGGAGCCGCTCTGGATAAATTTGAAATACCATGCAGGGTTATTAATGAATCTTGGGTGGTTTTAGGAGACTTCAATGTTGTCAGATTCCCTCAGGAGAGAAGGGGTGGGAATTTAGAATGGAATTCTGGGCTAGAACATCTTAATGAGTGCTGTCAGGATGCTGAACTAGAAGACCTCAGATTCTTTGGTTTGTTTTTTACTTGGTCTAATAGGCAGCTGAGATCTAGCATTATTGAGAGGAAGTTAGACAGAGTTTTGATAAATGACACCTAGAAGACTAAATTCACTAGAGCTGAGGTAGAATTTCTACCCCTGGGAGTTTCAGATCATAACCCCATTATGGTTAGAACATGAATTGAATTTAGAGAGGAAAAAAGGCCATTCAAATTCTTTCACTTTTGGGCTTCCTATACTGAACTGAATTTGATACTTTAAGTAAGTGAGATTTAAAAAACTGAGGTCAGAGGCTACCCTCTTTTTCAAGTTATCCAGAAGCTTAAACTAGTAAAGATTGCCCTCAAAGATTTGAATATGAGGAAATGCAATGACATATCTGGTAGAGTGAATGAGGTGAGGAAAAAGCTTCATGACATCCAAAGAGCCATGTAGCACCAGTCCAATCTCAGTTAACTCAAGCAGCTTGAGAAAGNCAGTGACATATCTGGTAGAGTGAATGAGATGAGGAAGAAGCTTCATGACATCCAAAGAGCCATGCAGCACCAGTCCAATCTCAGTCAACTCCAGCAGCTTGAGAAAGAAACCCTATCTGAGAAAGGCTTAGGCACAATGAAGAATCCTTTTAGTTGCAGAAATCTCGCAACTTTATTAGCTGGGGCTATCAGAAGGAGACCAAAACAAAAGTTTCTTCTTTAGGTCCATAAACATAACATAAAAAAAAGAGTCTATGTTCAGCTAGAGGATGGAACAATGCTTCAGGACTACAACCAAGTCAAAGTTGTGGTTGTTGGATACTACAAGGACCTCCTTGGATCCCCATGCTCTCTCTCTTATCCAAGGAAGGCTAATATGAGGCTATTTATAACTAAGGTTATCAATGAAGACCAAGCTACCCCGTTGATCCAAGAAGTGTCTGTGGAGGAGATTAGATCCACATTGTTTAGCCTGCACTCTAACAAGGCCCCAGGGCCTGATGGATTTAATGCCTTTTTCTTTAAAAGAACTTGGCACATTGTGGGGGAGGATGTGGTGAGGGCTATCCAATCCTTTTTCATCTCTGGGTGCCTCATCAGAGAAATGAATTCCACAATTATTGTGTTGGTACCAAAGATTCCCAATCCTTCTAAGTTGAGTGATTATAGACCAATCTCCTGTTGTAATACACTGTAAAAGTGCATTACAAAAATTCTGGCCAACAGAGTGAAGAGTATTTTGCCTCATCTCATTAGCTATGCTCAAGCTGCTTTCATAAAAGGTAGGAGGATAGGTGACAACATACTGCTTGCTCAAGAACTCATGAGGGGTTACCATAGGGATAACATCTCTCCCAGATGTGCTATCAAAGTGGATTTGAAGAAAGCTTATGACTCAGTTAGGTGGGATTTTCTGCTTGATGCTTTAGAGTTAATCAAATTCCCTCCTAAATTCATTCAATGGATTAAGTCCTGCATCACCTCTCCACTTTTCTCAGTCAGCATCAATGGTGAACTAGAGGGAGATTTTCCTGGGGCTAAGGGGTTAAGACAAGGGGACCCCATTTCACCTTACTTGTTTGTAATTGCTATGGAGGTCTTTACTATGATCACTGATAAGTTCACTAAGAGTGACCAGTTCAGCTTTCATTGGAGATGCAAGAAGACACTTACCACTCATCTAAGCTTTGCTGATGATCTTCTACTGTTTTGCTATGGAAATATGGCTTCTGCTAGCATACTCAAGGCTGCACTTGAAAAATTTTCTGAGTTGTCTGATCTCCAAGCAAACCATGCAAAGAGTCAGATCTTCACTGCAGGAATGCATAATTCCACTAGAACTAATATCCAACAACTGTTTGGGTTTCCACTAGGCAAACTCCCTGTGAGCTACCTTGGAGTTCCACTTATATCTACTAAGCTAAGAGGGGCAGATTGTAGAAGTCTTGTAGATAGAATGCTTGCTAAAGTGAAAATTTGGACTTGAAAATGTCTCTCATATGCTGGAATATTGCAATTGATCAAATCTGTTCTCTGAGGCATTCAAGTTTATTGGTCTAGCTGGTTTTTACTCCCTAAAGCTACTATTAGATCAATTGAGCAGATTATGAGATCTTTCCTATGGAGGGGTGTTGATTTGAAGCATACTGGGGCCAAAGTGGCTTGGAAAGATGTCACATACCCCAAAGAGGAAGGAGGATCATCACTGCAATTAGCAGAGCCACATAAAAAATTAAAGAAGAAGAGGAAAAAAGTGGATTCAATTTCTACTTTCTAGGTTTATTTGAAGAATGTCAGGAAATGTGGGGGTATGATATAGCTTATGCTTTTTCTTTTTAAATAATTCACTTGATAACCAAAGTTTCATGCCATTAATAAAAGATTTACATCTATTTTTAAAATTTCAAGTTATACCTTAAATAACTAATACTTTCAGATTATATTCTCAATTGGATGAGAAGATAATAATGTGAACCCAACTATATGTCTATTGCTTTGCCTGGTAATTTTTATAATATTTTTTTATGATGAAAAAATTAACTCAAGATGAAAAGTCCATTTAGTCCAAGTTCAGTCTTAAATCACACAGAGTGGGAATGAAAGCTAGAACAAAGCTAGAAAAGCTATATAAAAATTATACCAAGAGTGAGAGCATCTTAAGAGCATCATACTTAGGGGTGTCCATGGATCGAGTTATCCACAGGTCCCGTTATCCAGCCCAAAATAAATAGGGTCAAAACCCAATAGATTCGATCGTTGGCTCCGCCCGAATCCGAGTCTAATATCCTTAAAAAGAGGGCTTGAGTTTGCTCTACAAACTCATTATCCGGGCCGAAGCCTGGCCCAAGAGCCTGCCCATTAGCCCAGCCCACCCACCATTCATTTGAAAAAAAATTATATTTTTAGACTATTAAATTTGAAACTTTGAAATAAGTCTCCTAATATCAAAATTTGAAGTTTTAAAAATTTAGATATTATAAATAATGTATTTTTTTTTCCATGTATTAAGCATATAAGTTTTAAATGGTAGAGTAATGCAAATGACAAATAAGTTAATAGGTGTCAACTTAGTTGAAATTTATTCATTCTATTGGATGCAGTTCATTATTTTATTTTTATTCATTTTAACTTTACTTTTGATTCAAAAATATAATTTACACAAATATTAAGTTATAAAAATATTCATTATTTTTAAATAAAGATGTATATAAAAAAGCTCACAAGCTGGGCCCGCTCACAGGCCCCCCAATAAGCTCACGAGTTGGGCTGCGGGTATCCTACCCCTACCCGAAACCTGGCCTAGCCCGCTCGATAACTCATTTGGGTAAGGGCTTGAACCTACACTATCCATGCCCGACCTAGTCTATGAACATCCCTAATTATACTATACATAATTACATATATAAAAATTATTAAAATACATCTTAAAAATGTAAATACAACTATATGAAAAATTATTTAAAATTTTTATCTATTAATTTAGATTTTGAATTCCACATAAAAATAATAATGTAAATGATGTTAAAAAAAATTGATTAGAAGTGTTAAGACATTTTTCTGTTGTATTCAGGTCTACAATGTACACAACTATCTCACATCAACTAAGAAGCCAAAACCCATGTTAGAAATTGTTTATAAAAAAGGGTAACTCTTAGAGCCTGTTTTGTATGTTTTTTGAGAGGGGTTTGGATTGACTTGTCCAAGCAAGTCCACACCCAAAGATGAGATTCAACATTTAATGTTGTTCATACCTATGTTTGGTATACGCAGGGATATATGACTATTACGATAATATATTTTTATATAAATGACTATTGTGCCCCTTAACCAATGTAGGGTATATATGATATATGAGAGGTATAAATGTCATTTGGATGTTAAACCCATTCACCCACATATGAAACCCCTCCATTGGTTTCATGAAACCCATGAACTTGGGTTTCATGACTAGGCCTAAATCGGGCTGGGTTTCAAACCCTGGACTAGATGTGTATTCACCAAACATGGGTTTGAGGGGGTTTATTCCCCAACCCATTTTCCAAAACTCTCCCAAACCCACATACCAAACATGCCCTTAGTGTTTACTTTTGCATTTGGTCTCGTGTGAAACATCTTTTGGTGCTTTGTACAGCTGGACTCAATAATTATTTCTTTTTAATTGGGGTTTGTCGAAAACTTTGGCTTGACTTCTATAGTTTATATCAAGAAGCGAATTGGGGTTTTTGAATTCAAAAATTCATAAATTTGAATTTGTGGATTCCTTGAAAATTCGCGAATTCATGCACTTGAATTTATGGGGTAGGGGTAGATTAGTGTATGGGAAAAAATGGGTTTACCTCACGTAACTCTCTTTTTTGGGTCTAATTCGGACTTTGTCGATTTCTTCCTACAAAATGAACAAACTGTCAAGGATCGAAGTGTTTCGATCGAAGACACTCTGATGCTTAAGTCAGTAATTGAAGAATTGGGAATGTAGAAAGGATTCAACATACCTTCCCTATGCTTTGTTCATTCCTTTGTATAATGATTCCTCCTGCTAGGGTTTCGTTGCTAGACGCTGTAAGGTGGCACACCATGCTTCAATTCAGGGTTTTTGTTTGGAAGCTTGCAGGAATTTCTCTTAACGTTCTCCCTATTGACTAGTTGATTCCTAGCC